TTTCTAGGCATGTTCACTATTATAAATAACTTCGTTTTGAGTTTCTATGGACTATGTTCACTTCCTTTTTAAATGGTTACGTAAAATGAGGTGATGATAATTCTCAAAAAACGTACCTGAATAGTAGTAATTGAAATGTTTGAAACCCTCCTTCTCCTATTTTGTCTGTTCTTAATGCCATAAAAAAATCTACATCATTCTTTGAAATTTCCGCAGAATAGTCTTCACACACAGAATAAAATCACAGAAAGTTTTTGAAAAACTTATTCGGCTAGTCTCAATTGAAATAATTAATTAATGCAGGAAGTTCGCAACCGCAAACAGAAATACGTATCGGAATTTTCCCGTCGATGTTTAAATGTCCATTAATTTGCAATGGATGAATTTGCTGAAATTCAAACTCGTGTCTTTCATCTTCTAATCTTTCACAAATTCTTAACTTCAATTCCTTTTAATTATTTTGCCTTCATTTTTATCTGTTTCGAACAGTTCGACGTACTGCTCGGAAATAATTACTGGAAACTTTCCAAGCCACCCTAAGATACGGGCTTGCAATCTCACTCCCTCATCTCGATTGTGATACACTTTGAGCTCCATGGAAGTCGAATTAATGGGTCTTTTGCACGCTAGAGATACAGGCAAATTATAGATATAATCTTCACCGGTTAAATCGCACGAAAATCACGTTGGGCACGTCAAAAAAGTCTGAAATCCATTCCTTAGTGCGCAATCTGCGTAGTTTGAAACATTTTTTTTTTCAAGTTTCCCGCGTGTCTGCGGGCAGTTTTTCTCGGTCATCGAGGACCAGGTTCGCACACTTCCGCACAGGCAGAGGAATAAAAAAAACTGACCCGAGGAAACAAACGATTTCACTAACTTCTTCTATTGTTCGATTTCGATCGCTTCCAAGTGTTTGTTTCCTATTCCTATCGTTATTTTGCAAAAACCAAAGCTTTGAGTCAATTGAAATCTCGAGGTGAGTATACAATACTCCGCAAGATTGTTTGATTAACACTGGGGGAAAAAAAACACATTGGATCTAGAGTCCAGACTCTTAAAAACATCGACAAGAAAAAATACTCTTGATTCAATCGGATTTTTGCTTAAATCAAGAACCAAGCCTCTTAATTTGAGCGGATTTCCTTTTGATTTAAGCAAAAATCCGATTGAATCAAGAGTATTTTTTCTTGTCAATGTTTTCAAGAGTCTGGACTCTAGATCCAATGTGTTTTTTTCCCCAGTGATTATTTAGGTTAGGTCTCTCTTCGGGCAAACATGACTACCGGCCACCAAGAAAAACTACCCGCAAATAACGCGATAAAGTTGATCAAACATGTTAAAGACGCAGATTGCGGGCTAAGAAGTTAATTTCAGACTTTTTTGATGTGCCCGGCCTGATTTACAGCAAATTCCACTCTAGAAAAAGTATTTCGTTGACTGTATCTCTTGCGCGCTATAGACCCAAATATTGTTTCAGAATGTTTGATATTTGTATCAGAGTCTTCTCGACTAGCTGAGGTGCACTGACTCGGAGGAAAAGGCAAGAAAAACGAAATGATCGTGCCCTGCAACATTCGTGGTTCGTGGCGTTAACGGGTGAAAACTCCATTCTCATTGTTCTTCACTCGTTCCGACCGGTTCCCCTTCAATATCTGGATAGGCAATGTCAGCGGCTTGGGTGCAATAACAGTTGCTCGTCGCATTTCTGCCGCGTTAACTCGGTTTAGTCATAGCTGTGGCGGTTTAATATTGTTATTCCTCATTATTACCTGCCGTTTATTCGCCCTCTTACAATTTTCCTGCTTCACCTGCTACCCAAGCAGCACATGATTGTAATAAACTGACATTACCCTCGAAACCATGAGATCCCGTTAATCTCCTTTAATGTCTCACAGGCCCCGAAGGTGCACCTGAAATAAGCTATAGGTTCTGGATCCACGGATTGTCACTTTCCTCCAACCGATGGGACTGACGTCCCAGTCAAATGCGTTTTTGAAGAAATGATCGATTCCCATCATTCCTTCATCTGCATACATTTAATAATGTGCAAATGATGGCACGCTCCGGTAAAAAGGTTCTGTGACAAAATCACTTTTGTCTCGTCGAGTCTCCAAAATGTATACATCATAGTGATCAAATGTCTAATCACTCAGAAAAATGGCTCGCGGAGTGAGCCGAATGTCACCCGCTGTGACCGGGGGCGCAGCCCCTTGGCTAGCCGTTCTAGACGCGCTTCGCGCGTCTAGAACGGCTTGCATTACGTGCATTTGTTCGACTGACGTTATCTTAATCGTTGACATTACGCTCACTCCAAATTCATATCATTAAAGTGAAGCTTAAAACCACTTCTAAACGAGGATCTAATTTAGGCTAGGTTTGCCGCAAGCGCTCAAGTTGCATGACAGCTTTACTTTCTCGAAACATCGAATTCCAGGTGCGCTGTTGTTTATGCCCGAATGCCTGCGTGCGCACGCCTTCTTGGTAGATCATGACGCAGCAATCCTGCCGACACATCGGCTTCTTCCTTCATTACGTGGTGCAAGCTCAGGTGGATCGCTTCGCGTCCACAGAAAAAATGTCGATGGTTGAAGTCGAAAAATGCGTTTCTCCATTACAAAAAGGCTCTGGTTGTATTTTTTTAACGACGCGAACCATAATGCATGCATCATGTGAATAGTTTTGAACGAATGCGGAAAATTCAGAATGAATTCCAAAAAGTTAGTTCGAATTCAAAAGAAATACCTCACAGAGAAAAAAAGGAGGTCGCATCTTGAGGCTTGCTTACCTCGTGAAGTAGGTTAGGTCGGTACATTATGGCGTCGATATTCCATCAAAATCCGAAATTTGAAGTATGAAAAACGGACCATCCCGCCCATTTTTTCTGCTGAGATCGACTGAAAATATAACGAGGGGGTCCGCCCCCTGGCCTCTAGGCGGCCCCTAGGCCGCTTCTCACTCTCCTTACTTCACTTCCCTTCCTCACCCCATCCATCTAGTGTTTTAATAATGATTTTATTAGAATTTTCCCGCACTCACGGACTTCGAACTCCGCCCCCATCGACCGTCTTACTCCCCTTCTTCAGTCCTCACCCCGTCCATTGGGCGTCTTAAAAATGATTTTATTAAAATAGAGAGGATTTCCAACACTTCATATAGAATAACTTTTTTTCTATAAACGACACCATTTCCAAGAAAATCGATTATAAGAAACGTCTGCACCGACCTACGTCATCGACGAAATTCAGCGACCACCTCTTTTTCTCTCCGTTGAAATGCTTAGAATAGCGGATATACGTGACGCTGCAATCGGCGGAACACGTTTTTCGACTTTCACCACCTACTTCCGTAGACAGGAGGAACAAAAGTTTGTTCATTACGGGTACCGAAAGCCGAGGCTATTTCTCGCCTCATGGTGATTAACGAGAAAGAGCATTTTCCGGGTATAATTATTTTTACGGTGATGAATATCAGGCTAAACATGTAGCGTATTCGATGCTTCGTCAAGCAATGTCTTGTCTGCTCAATGAATTTGCTAAAGTAATGATTGCTCATTGATCATTGGTCAGTAAATAGTAGTGCTCCATCCAAAAAATATCTTTCACACCATGTGAACTACATAAGCTCCCTGGGGAGTTTATGCGAAATTTTTAATTATAACTTTGCGTCTTCTCCTTTTTTTTCACTTTTTTTCTCTTTCATGTAGGTAAGTAATCTTCATCGTGGCTGCTCTACTGCCGTTGTAAGGATTCAAAAATATTCCTCTCTTCTTTTCTGATCAGTATTTTCTCATAAAATTGACAATTTGTTTGGCGAGCTAAATAAAAAATAAAGTTTGCTTTCGTTGCTTGAATGTTCGCATTTCTCGTATATCCAATGCAAATCACAAACTGGACTTTGCAGCCATTTTAAAAATAATTGTCCCATACTCAGAGGCGGATTTAGCAATTTGGCATCACCGGATGTCCTACATTTAAACCTACGCTAAATAATCGATTCTTGTCGGAGCACCTGGTCCCTTTACGAATCGATACATTTCCATAGGTTTTAATGGAGGAATCCGGTGTTGCCAAGTTGCTGGATCCGCCAATCCTTTACTAAATGACGCGGTCTCAAACAGACGTCAAGCGGTTTCAAATGAAAATGAGGTATTAAAGTTGGACTTACCTGCTCCTGGTGTCTTCCATATGCATATCTTCAAGAATCACCTCGAAAAACCAGCTTGCGATAGTGCTGTGACGCCCGATGATTACTGTCGAATTTTTATTTTATTGTGATGTGTTTTTTTAACTGATCATGGTGAAATCGCTATTAAAAATTAGGTCAAACTTGGTGACAACTGATAAAATTAATCGGGAGTTGACCCGGAGATTCCATTTTACACTCAGTAAAATTTCACAATTTGTATCAGATTAGCTCATGCCACTTCAAGTTTGTAAACGATCTTGGATGGGTCACTGTGGGGGTCCTAGAAACTTATTACGGCTTACAAAGATGAGCAGATCATTATCTCTTCTGCAGAAACCTAACCTTTGTAATTATTATTTAATTTTTTGTTGCGGAAAAACGAAGTTGTCAATCTAAAGAAGGAGGAAGCTTTTGCCTCAAATCAATTTTAAGATTTTATCAATATTTTTTTTATCAATTTTTTTTTATGATTGCACTGGTCTAATTATCAAATGGTAGAACAAATATCAATGAATAGGTGGGGGGGGGAGGTGTCGTGTTCATATATGATTTCGATTTTTAATAGCCTTGGAAAAGGGTACGGAATAACCAGAATCTAAAATGTTTATACTCTCTCCTGAATGTCAAATAAATCAAGGGTATATTGGTAGGGGGAGTTTCGATTCATACATAGCTCGGTGATTTGGGACACTTGGATGTATTTTTGGGGCGAAAAAAATCCTCCAAGTCCGTTAAGCTTAATCAGAGGGTATGAAAAATTGGTAGAGGATGATAAAGGACACAGGTAGACCAGAGAATAAGAATTCTTAATACAGTTTGGCTTTAAATAATTTATTTTTATCATACCAACTGCCGACATGAAGGAACTTAAAACATCAACCATGTAACATTAAATTACGAATAAAGCGCAAAAGAAGTCAACGACTTCCCTTGCAAGATTAAAACAATTATTTGTACACATTATATACATAAACATGTAAGCTTTTGCACATAACGCCAAAGGTAATGTAAGATAATTCAAAACTTTAAGTAATTATTATAAGGGGCTAAGAAGGTATTTGACCCCATATTGTCAAAAAGTCACAGCATTGCACATTGTGGGAGAAGATTTTTGATCAACTATGAGAATGAAAGTTTTATGAAACTCTTACATGACCTTGCAAAATGGCAAACAAATTTTATTTTATTTCAAAGTATGAACAGGGTTCCCCTTTTTTATAATACATATATTCACAATAAGTAACAGGATATGAAAAACTACAGTCTTAGAATTGCGGGCTGGCAAACCAAATATTCTTGACAAAGATTTGCAGCTACATGTTAAGAGATGGATACAAGATAACGAATAAAAGAGGACTTAAATTACATTAATTACAATTAAAAAAAAAATATCACATAACTAATTTTTATGCTTTCAGGAATAAAGAAATTCCCTTACACTAATTTGAAAATCCTTTAACGGAACGTTAGGATTATCCTAAAACTGTTTTTTTCATTTTGTAAGAAATCAAACGCGATTAAAGTTACGATGGTCCTGCCACCCTTTATTCAATTTTGACCCGTTAGGATTTTATTTTAAAAATAAAACATGAACTGGAACGGGCGAAAGTAACTACCCCAACCATCGCACGCTATGAATCCAGAGGCATTGGAGTACGAATCCCATTGATTCAAAGGTAAGTACAGACATTTAAAATCAACGATGCCGCACCTCCTTGATATCTAAAAGATCTTAACAAAATTTACATTCCTTAAAAGCTTGTAATGCTGTTAGTGAGGAGGAACTAAGGAACTGGAGTACTTTGATACCCTAATGAATTTCAAATACAACCCCGGAAAGCACGATCTCTTTTGCAAGAGACGAGAGAACGATTACGATGATAAGGGCATTCCTTGTGGATGTACCGGTGTAGCTAAGACTAATACTATAAAGTAACTTAAGTAACCTATTCAAAGTCTTTGGTAAAATTAGTTTTTTTTTTGTTTGTTTTTTATATATACAAAAAAAGTAAGCTATCCATAAATTAAGAACCATCATTTTTATTCGATGGATGGTTCCAAAATCATGGAAAATCTTTACAAAGGAAATTAAACTATTTTAAAAGTCCTTTGTCATTCAAACCCTAAAAATGATAATAAACAGATTAAAGTACGATTGCTAAATAAATAAAAGTCGTTAGCATCAACGTTACAGGTAGATTTTTATAGACCGAACGGAAGCGCTAATCTAATTAGCCCTCAATAGGCAAAAGAGAACTTTTAAGATCCCAGATAAAAGACAATTCAAATTGACACAAGCTTTACATTCCTGTATTAAAATTTTTAAGGTATGTGACGAGGTTTGGAGTAAGTAATTGAAGTAGGATGTCAAAGTCAATATCATGACAGAGTAACAATCAGAGAACTTAATAACTGTCACTATTGCACTGAATCGAGGAACTAAGTTACCACAAAGAGGTATTAAATACCAGGTCACAAAAATTAAAAGTCAATCAATGTTCTGCTTTATTTGCTTAAGATTCCCACAGGAGTCTTGAAGGCGTAAACTGGCGACTCTTTTCTCCGCTATTTGACGCTGGTTAGTTCTTTATTCACAGTTGTCTTCATTTGTAAACCAGCGCTAACTTTCTCGATTTCCCGGGCGATACCACCCTGACGAAACATGGATGCAATTGGAATAACTCCTGGCGGGGAGGAGAGTCGCCCATTATTTCCGCTGACGAATTTTTTGGACATAGAATTACCAGAGGATGAATGATTCCCGGATACCACGCTTGCATTTTGTTGACGTGCATAAATCATGACCGAAGGATCCGTTATGTGCCTCACAAACTGATTCTGCCCTGGCTTTGTTGTGTTAATGCCACTACTATTATTCCCATGCGGTGCCGGTCGAATGAACTGTTTACGGTCTATCTCATTTAGCTTCGGCATGTTCATAGGCTTCGACCTAACTGGCGAGTTATCTTGTTTGAAACTGGGGTTTTTAATTGGTCGCTGTTGCAAAGAGGGAATTTTCAGGGACATATTCTGTTGCAAGCAATTGTTCAAGTTGCTCACAGAATGATTATTCTTCGGCGATGGGGAAGCCGGCAAAATCTGAGGATTTTGAGCAGACTTTATGCTGGGGCTAGAATTTCCGTTGATTTGAATTGTATTTCTTTGATCCTGTTGAGATTTTGCAGCTAGGTGTGCTGCAGCATTTGAGAGGACGGTTAGATTTTGCATAGAGACTGGTATTGATTTCGGTCCATTTGTAGATCCGACTTTGCCTGTATTAAGTTGGGGTGGAATTTTATTCACTTGCGGCTTGATGCATACCGGTGGGACACTTTTGGGCCTTTTGAGTGTGATATTGGAATGATTTGTTGAGGAGGAAGTATGGACAGTTCCAGAGGAGGCACCAGAAACGGAGGGTCTCGTTAACTGGCTTGTTGGTGAAAGGTCAAGAGCACCTGTGCTTCCGACAGTCCCTTTCTTTTGACCGTCAGTTTTCTTCATGTCTCGATTCTCAATCCGCGTTGGTGCTGTATTTTCTTTCTGGAGTGATATTTCGATGCTCCCTGCTTGAATGCATGGCTCGTTTTTATTTTGTACGACAGTCTTCGATGTATTTGTAGTCTTGGAGGTGCTTGTTGAGTGAGTTACTGTTACAGAGGGTAGGTTGATACTCATTTTCTGTAGACGGACTAGAGGTGAAGTTGAAAGGGATGCAGAGGATGAGGAAGAAACAGAGGTTGATACTGATGTACAGTGCGAGGCTGGGATTGAAGATTTTACAGTTTGGCCATTATTTCCTTTCAGTCTTGACGCATCTTTTTTACTGTCAACGTTGAAAAAGCTTTGCATTTTTGGGCCATTGACCAACATTATCTCTAGGGATGGTCTCAGATTATCTGCCGCTTTCGGATCCTGGTTATTATTCAGAAGTTTGTCTTCGTCCAACTTACGTTTTTCAGCCGCAGTTATTTTGCTCACAGTTATTGATGAAGGGGGGTGTAGCAAAGGAGATTTAGAACGACTCGAATTAGAATCACAGGTGGTGAAGATGAGAGGGGTAGGACTCGACTTCCTGGTAAAGGAAGTGGAATTTGGTAGGGATTGAGGTAAGCTCGGTGGTCGATATGACTTTTCTGGTACTTTGGGTACTTTTGCATCAGCCACTTTGGAGGCCACTTCTTGACATTCGAGATCTTCATTAATTACATCCATCGCACGTTTCAACTCGGCATTTTCTTCCGAGACGCGGGAGCCTTGAGAGCTATCATCAGCAAACGAATTGTGCGCTATGTTATCATAATCCTTACTACTATTGCAACTGCCACTCTTTAATCTAGAGGTACTACTAGAAATATCACTACTACTACTAATTTTGGAACAACTTCTATCCGTACTTTTCCGTCGTTCATTAGTTTTATTACTGAGTTTGTTTGAAACGTTAGTGATACCAGCGTTGTTGTTAAAGGCGTTCGATTTACTATCATTTGCGGAATCTGCTGTTAATCTGGAATTACTACTGTACATGGGAACAACCTCACCCACTGTTCTTGATTTACTTGACGACTTGGACGGCTTATCGTACTTTTCGCAGGCAATTATTGGATTAAGTTTCACTTTCAGTTTCATAATATCATTGCTTTCAGACTTTAAGATAGTCGCAGGAGGAGTTTTCTTGGTGTGGCGATGATGGTGATGATGGTGATGATGATGCTTTCCTTTCTTGCTTTTCTTTTTAACTTTGACCTCTGATCGGTCGTCGATTTCCTCTGAGGGATCAATGACCATCTTTTCGTCATCATCCATATCAATATCCCCGGAGCTTTCTTGAGAAGTTACTTCAGAATCTTTGTCTTTCGTTTCATCTTCTGTCGGGGATATCCAAAGTCGTCCCTCATCATCATCGTCGTCAAAGTCATCCGTAATTTCTTCGATGTCATCTTCATACTTAGCGTCGTCATCAAATGAGTCCATTTCGTCTACATTACTAGGAACACTGGAACTGGGGTAATCAGGTGAGGTAGCAGAAGAGTAACCTGACAAAGCGTCTGATTCTATCGCGGTCTTTTTCTGCTTTTTTCGTTTGGTCGATGTGCTTCTACTCCGCCGACGGGGAGATGCTTTCTTATTAGAAGATCTTGTTTGCCTTGCATTCATTCTTAATCTCTTAACTAGAGATAAATCATCTAATTCATCAGCTTCATCTTTGGTACTCGCTTCGTTCGACTCATTTCCAGAATCCGACTTCCGCTTGGAAAATACATTTCCTCTTAGCTGTCTCCCATTAGTTGTGTTTGTTGTTCCACTCTCTGAGCTCGAATTGGGACCATTTCGGGGCCAGCTATTCCTTTTAAAATCATTCTTTGAAGCTGAGTAACCGTGCGCACCATTTATGTCACTGTTTGATTCAGCAGGCACAGCTGCTCGCTCAAGGATTCTATAGCTGAATCTCATGGGGGTAGTCTGAAAAAGTGATAATGCACGAGATAAGAATTGAGATCTAACTTACAAGATAATGTAAAGCGCATTATTAAAAAAAGTTCTAAAATTGCAAATTGCTTTTTTGTAGGAATTCAATGCGTAATTCAATGAGAGGGTAGTCTCGATAGAGAGTTACCGTTTCGGGGGTTTTCTGAAATTGTGCAAACTGGCGGTTTTACCATAAACTTTTGACCAGTTTCAAAGATTTTGCCTTGGTTATGAGTGCTTTTCTCGCCTTTGCCTTGACTCTCTTCCTTACCCTCACTCATGACTCTCTCAATAGATTCAGTTTTAGCTCCAGTCCTAAGATGGCTGGAAATGGGAGAATCACTGATTTTACTCATGTAAAGTACTTTTTCATGAGTATCACTACCTATATAGTGCTATCTTTCACTCAAACGTTGTGGGGCCATTTAACATGATTTTCCCTTTGAGGCTAGTTTTAACCTGTGGTTCCTAAAAATGTCATTGCCATGCTAACTAGACAGAATTTCGTAGCTATTTACAATGCCTTGCTGAGCATGCATTAAAAAAAGGAGAGAAATAGAGTTGTTGATCGGAATCTAGAAAGTTAAAAACACTTACCCGATCCCACATAAAAGTGTAAGCAACATCCATCAAGCTGAAATCTTCTGGAAGACATTCTTCTTGGTATATAATATCGACCTGAAAGGAACAAAAATATGAGAAGTTAATAAGCTTCGTTATAATTTCATCGGCATGATTCAGTTGTGTAGAGACATTTAGGACCTGTAAACCGTGTCAACATGTCTTACTACCTCGGAGCTTTACCACCTGAGCTTTGATTGAAGCAAATTTCCGAAAAGCCTTTAGGGGGTCATGCAAGGCAATAATTGGACGCTCCGACTTATCTTTAAAGTTCAAGCCGTGCATAGTTGTGAACAAGTTGATGCTTTCTGTTGAGATGCGACAGGGCATCAACTTCTACGTTACATTACTTCTTCTGATTTATTACATTAATAAAAAAAAAAAAAAAAAAAAAAAAAAAAAAAAAACAGAACCATGGCTCATTAATATTTACCATTTGTTCGGCAGCTAGTCCGTACTTCATTCGCACGAACTTCTTCAAATGATTTATCGTCACAGCAGCCGGGCATTGAAGATATCGTTTGTGCGGCAACTGAAAATAATTAAGAGAGGACTTATTAGGATTCAAAAAGAGTGGACAACATTTGAAAACAGCAATTGTTGGTTACATTGGTATTTCACGATTGTTTCATTACTCATCCCACTTTCTTTGGAAGTTATTACTCTCAAGCTTATAAAGGAGAATCTTAGAGTAATAAGTGATAAAGTAAACTTACCAATTTCATTTTCAAGGAATCATGCTCATCTCCGGCTTGGCGGCATTTTTCATCATTGTTATTCATCCTGGAATAAAAAAGAGAGTCAGTCAGTAAACTGAATGTATATAAATTTTGAAATTCAAATCATGAAAAAACCTTTCTCTAGGAGATTCAAGCATGGAAGGACAAGAGAAGAGAAAGAACAGAAATAGTTTGGGCACGAAGACAAATATACTCTTCACGAGGACAATTAATTAAGTTAATGACTGTAAAATTTTTCATTACCAGTTGCATAACCATTATAAGTAGTCAGATAGGATTTCAAAGATGATTTGACTGAAGTCGCGATGAAGATGTGAAATATATATTTTGCTTGCTAAAGCTCGACTCACAATAAACGGGTTATCTGCCTATCCGTGGAGCATCAGTATGTCCCCTTAAGTATGGTGCAGGATGGTAGTATACTACACCATATTAAGAGACCTAAGACATTATGACTGTATGTTGCGAACGGTACATGGCCTTTTTGGTTAGACTTCGTTGTTCCTCTCATCGCTTTCAATTTAGTATATCCATATTGCACCAGACAATATGGAAATGAATATCGACGTCTTTTTACTAGTGTAAGCAGGATCGGATGCACATCATGAAGTCGATTTAGGGCGGGAAAGGCACGCTGCGCGAACGGCTAGACTTGGAAGTTGCAAACAGGAGAAAGGAGGGCAGCAAGAGAAAATTAGGCGCGCAAGTCAAACTGGTGGAGGAGATTGCTCGCGGTTCGGTGATTGAAGTTCACTTGACGTGACGATCATCGTTATGGCAGCGTCGCGCCGAGTAGCGCCGCGGCGCGGCCGAGATGGGAGGAGGGAAAGGGGTGGGTGAGTGTAATAAATTCAGCGGCGCGTAGCGGTGCGCTGCGCCGCGCCGGGCGTCTCTACTTTCCTCTATCCAGCGTCTTTTACGCGAAGAGACTAGCGCCGAGCGCGATGCCCGGCAGAGGCGGTCGACGGCTGGCAACGTCGAGTGCCGGCACGAAGCAGTGCGGAAAGTGGACAGGGAGCGGGTTTGCCACGAAAATTGGATCCGTGCACCGGCTGCCGGGCCGGTGACTTTACAACAAGGTACTGCGCCCCCTCCCGCCTCCCGCCTCCCGCTTCACCGGCAGACTTGATCTCATGCTAGTAAAACCCGTGACATCGCTGCACTCCTGTTCCCGCCTCGCTCCATTACATTACCTATCCGCTTCTCCCCTTCCTGTTTTTCCGAGCCCTCAGGATAATTTACAATATTGGGACGAAGCTTATGAAATGAGCTTTATCGGGAGCCTATACAGCAGGGAGACACCGGGAAAACCCTTGCTGGCTCACAAAGGATCGAGTCGATAGGAGAGGTCGTACAAAATCTGGAAACTTCAAGAGCTTAGAACTCCGTTAAATCAAAACTTTGAGATTTTAAAATTGATTCCATTAGTTTCCTCGTAAGATTTTCTTATAAAAACACCCCTCGAAATTTGAAATGTGGCCAATTAAACACCAAAATTGCAGTTACTTGTAGAAAAACATTTCATGAACGACCTTCCTGATTGATTCGATCCATCGTGTGGCTGTTTGCATAGCTCCTAGGAGGGCTAGAATTCGGTGTCCGAAAGACATTAGTTTCCCAAATTATTTTCCATCGCGAATATCACAGATGGAGACTGTTGATTAGGCTCTTTGGCAGTGAAGTTTCTACATGCACCGGGGATTCAGCTCGATGATTTAACCCTCAATGTGGAGGAAGGACCAGTGCCTGATGTGCAAGTTAGAAGAGGAGGGCCGAAAGTTGGGTTTGGAGGTCAGTACATCGAAACCTGCGAAACTGACTTAGGGAGGTGATCATCAAAGCATTGAGTTCGGAGATGGGTAGTAGATCAGAAGCTGCGTGGAATATAAGCATTTGAGTGTGCGGTGACCCGAGAATCCCAGGATGGAAGACGATTAAGCTATCAAGGAAAGGAGCACCTTAGCAAGGGAGGCTATAGCGATCTTGAATGTGATCCTCTGGGATCAATGAATTTCGTTAAAGAACAAGAGGATCATTTTAAAACGCTGTGGTGGAAAGTATTTTAACGTATGTATGTGAAATTTGGCAGATAAAGAAACTGACACACGATATTTTAAGAGCAACAAAGGTGAATTTCTAGAGGAGGTCTGCGGGAATTTCGAGAATGGATCGGGTCCGTAATGAAAAAGTGCGTCAGATCATAGAATTCGAAAATAAAGTGGTATTCGACGCCATAACCAAACAGTTTGTCTTGTATGGTTACGTAGATAGGATGACGGTAGAGGGGCTGCCTAAGAAAATGCTTGATTGGGTTTATCATGGAAGAAGACGAAGGGAAACCAAGTGAAAGGATGGCAACAGGGTTTTTTAATGAAATGACAGAGTGCCAAATCCCTGATGGACTGTGCAAGAATAGGTCACTGTGGCGATTAGGTGTCGCAGAGCGCCGGAGAGCGCTGTGAAAGCGGCTCTTCAGTATGTACATCTCAGATGTAACGACTTGGTGAAAAGGGATTAAACGAGCATGATTTCAGCTTTGAAACAATGCAAGGTGATTATACTTCAGCCTACCCAGGAGGTTACAACTATTCTTTCATGTACCTACACGCGCGTAAAGTGGGTCCCGACTCTTGGGTCCACTATCCATGTGATTTGATTGATCATTAATGACTGTACTTTTTGTCAGGTGGAGTAGGGGGTGGTATTAAATTGCATTAGGGATGCGGATGCATACCGGGGAAATGCTCAGAACATCAGTGAGGTATCCTTTTGAAATCATTAAAAGGATTTCCCTCTCTTTCTCTCCTCCCCCGCTTCGTGTTTGTCATAATTGATACATCTTGTGCACCCTCGGCACGCGTGTTGCCGCACCCCGCGTGAGGTGAGAAATCCGTAAAGGTTTACACCTTGTACATCGCATGCGAGACGCGAGTTGACGGCATGCCCCCGGAACCCATACCGGCTGCGAATTCACACAGTAGGACAACCCGGATGGCAGAAACGTTGAATAGGTCGACGCGAACTGTACTGGGTGCCGCGCAGCCCAGGCTGGCGATTACACCGAAAGCTGGGCTTCGTTAGCGGATGACTAATGATCCAAGATCATTAAACAGTACTGGCAGCTTCGAGCCAAAATTTTTCTACTAAAACCGGCAGAAAGTCGATACAGAATTATTGCATTTAGAGGAAAGAGACATATTGTAAGATACAAAACTGCACTAACAATTGGCTGTGCAACCGCAATACATCGTTTCTCTCATGAAAGGATGTAACTTCAATTCCGCGTCATCCGATTAATCTGCGCAATTTGCAATTTTACTAGGAGAATTCGAGGATTTAAATTTCACAAATTTTTCTTCTGGTCTCATGCAATAATCAGACAAATTTTCGACGAAAATCATGCGAGTTTTTTCTCGTAAAACATTGAAGTGTTCGAGTCAAATTTGCAACCTAGGAAAAGAGTTTCGTGCGAGAGACGACGAATATTATCGGCATCATGAACGAGACACAGTACTTAATTCGATTTTTGCCGAAAAAACTCGAAATTCATTTTTCCGTGCGCTCCCAAAGTTCCGAGTCAAAACTTTCTCTTCACATAAAATTGGGGTGATGAAGACACCGAGTCCAACGTTTCAAGCGGATGACGTCAAACATCCGTTGTTTCCGAAAGTTTCCGCTGTAATTCCGTTCCGAACAATATTGGACCTCGTCACGTCATTCCTGAACCAATATTTTTTGCCGCAAATGCTCCGGTTCGATGCTATTAATATGATTTGACAGGTGACCGTGCCGGAGCACCCGCAGAAGAGACGTGAAGGAATATTTATCGTCACGTGAACCTGCACGCGTATTCCGATCGGCAGAATCCAGTTCTATTCTCTCTCGGCTCTCCACTTCCACCCCAACCTACTCTCATCGGGCGCCGCACAATGGATCGCGTCGATAGGAAAGATCGGACAAAATTTGGAAACTTTAAACACCTATAACTCCGCTTGTACAAAACGTTGAGGTTCTAAAAGTGGCTCCATTGGTTTTCTCGTGAAATTTCCCGCTGGTGGCACCCCTTAAAGTTTAAAAAGTGACGAAATAAACATCAAAATTTCTGGTTTTAGCTAACGATTTCATTTCCGACCTCTTCCATTGGCTCGATCCACCGTGCGTCGCATTGAAGCGTGGGCTCCGCTCCATCGCATTGAACCGACGACGTCTCTGGCAGTGGCGAAGCGAGAATGATCAACTATCGATATTGCCCCATTTGAAGCTATGGTAGAGAATCGATTATTAAGGGGTTCGTTGCGAACACCCTGTCTATTGATCCTTTTTCGTAAGTTTAAATGGCAGATCAATCGATATATCGCAAAGCAGCCACGCCACTGGTCTCTTGCAGAGCGATGATGTGATAGAACTGAGGTCTCTTACCGAACAACGCGGTGCCGAGTCAAAAGGAGAACATATTTTTGAACATGATAATATTTTACGTTCGAATTTTCGTCCGGAAAAATCATGAATTTGTTTCTTGGAACATACTTTCCGTCTTCGGCTTATACTCGCATTTTATTGTATTCGAAAAAAAATGAATATTCGACAAGGCGTAACTTTCATGAGGATAAATGATATGCAATACACGCTCGCGTCCTCAAGATCTCAAATTGAGTATTTAATATCCATCATTTGGACTGCATTTTGCAATTTGGACCCATAAATTCCGGCCCAGTTGAAAAACTACGTACGTGCCATTGGTTTCCCTATGCACATAAGTGTTTCTTCAGATGAGCCAGAATTTATAGGTCCAAATTGCAAAAAGCAGTCCATTTAACAGTGTTTCTATTTTTTACGGGTTCTCTATTTCAAGAGGAAAACCTATGAGGGCATAAAAACTGACACCATCGTCCATCTTCCTAAAAAAAAAAAAAAAAAAAAAAAAAAAAAAAAAAAAAAAAAAAAAACAACAACACATTGATGGCAAAAGTGCACAAAGTAAAGCCAAACAAAGGAAAAGCGTCCTCATGCATGAGAAACAAATGATGGGTTTTAGAAACATATTATCCATTGGATTTTTATGAGAGAGAGCTTGCACAAATGCACACCGAAAGAGTTTTTATGCCATTTTCACACGTAAGCACTGATCAGAGACAAGTGTCAAGAGCAAGACAAGGTTGAATAATTTAGGGTTTTCCCTCACGAATACGTTTTCATTAAAATACACGTCTCTGAAAATCTATTAAACTGAAGCAATCGAGATAAATCGCTCCGATCCTTCTTGCAATATAATAGAGAATCTCGGTAAACACGGCAAACTTCCTCGACATTGAAATTTATTGAGAGGGAAGAAAAGGGAATTGAAGGGTGTGGGTGTGATGTAGACATTGATAAGGGTCTTACCCTGCCTCGTAGTATTCCAAAGATAAACTGATGTTGTCGTCGGGTGAATAAAAGGCCGAGGGTGGCAAATTGACCGCCGTGGGCGGAGGGTCCGAGCTTAGATAGAATTCTTTCCTGCGCTTCATCTCCTTCGCGAAAAGACCGGGCACCATTTTGTACGTCAGACGCTGAATGGTGTAGTCGGGCCTGTAAACCAAGAGCAAACTTACGTTATATCAAGAAGCACATGACAGCTAGTGGCAAAATTTGAATGATCGATTCGCCATTAAAGACAAAATTCGAAAGTTCAAGACCTCTTTTACCCCACCTAGGGAGAGAATTAAACTATGCAACTATTATTGACAATGCTATTACTTGAGTTGTTGTAATTTTCATTTACACATTTATCAATGATCGATTTCAATCGATTAGAGGTGTGATGAAAACGACGAAGATGGGAAAACACAACTAAAAATTAGATCGCAGGATGCAAGAAGTTGCCTTTAGGTTTTGGAAAGTTTCTAGGCCTCTTAAGTGAATGTTGCCTTTCCCCCCTCAAAATTGAGTCTCACAAATCATTTTCGACAAACAGGTGGCAGGCCAAACGAGTTACATAATCATTGACTGCATTTAAAATGCGATTCATCATAAAATGGTGAATTCACTTGAGAATACTAAATACGCCCGAAAAATGGTCACGCACCTGATACTTAGGTGAGGCTTTGTCTTGTAAGCTTGCACATCACAGATCGGGCAGAATTTGTTCTTTTCAAGATACTTGACGATACATGTCCAACAGACTGAAACAAAATCAGAGGAAAAAATAAACAGTTAGTAAGTTCGAGGGAAAAATATAAAAAACTGACTTAGTAAAATTGTCACACCCAACACACGGGCAGCTTTCGGTTGGAATATTAGTGCCACCCAAGTTTGTAAAAACCACCCTTCTTTTCATAAGAGCTTCTCACAGGAACTTTTTACGAGAGAGAATACTATGAAGAAAAACTTGTGAAGAGATGTCTCACTTAAGACAGGATAGTCTGCGACGCGACGGATCAAACTCGAGTGAGCAACTATTCGCGCAGCAAAGTATCCAATTTTGTCTACTCTTCAAATTTGAAGGCGTTTTCGTCGTTTATACGCTTTTTCATGCTTCCGGATACAGAAACGGTTAGCCATATAATTTGTAAGGCAGTAGTAATTGCTTCTATGTTCTTTCCCCTGAAAGAAGAGCGTATTATTAAAAGTAATTGCATACTTACACGTGTGCAGACATTCAACGATGGAGGCGGCATCAACGAAGTAGCCGCCACACAGGACACAAATGAGGTAAGGGTTCACCTCACGAAGCTGAAGGCGCTTCTCGCTTTTCGCGAGTTCTTGATCCATTGTGACTTCGCGCTGAAACAAACATACGACACCAAACATTAATACATGTTCAAGGACACACGTGATATACGAAAACTTATCAAAACTACAGGGTTCGAGATTGAATGAATAGAGAAAATGAATAAAAACGCGGGGGAAGTCATTCTGATTAGGTTTGGGATGAATTGAAAGTAACGTTTTATTTGCCGTAAAGATTTCACATAATCGTCAGGTGAAACTAACTAAATCGCGATGAAACTACGTAAACCAGGACGAAAAGTTCGACCGTTTGAACATTACAAGTGCTCGCTAATTTATCACTCTCAGCGGCGGAGACGCGGGCGCAGATTTATTTTTTACGGGGGTGCAAACCTGAGCGACGCTTGCTTTACGAAACAGGGGAGGGGGATGGGTGGAGTAACATACCCCGGTTTTCGGCAATACGTATTCTATGAACGTTCCCTAAGCGCCCCCTTAAGAAGTGTCTGCACCCTAATATGCTCTCATTTATACGTCAAAAAAAATAAACATAGTAACAAACAGACAAAATAAAACACCGATCTTTTCGAGGCTACATAGATAAAACAATTAGCGCTCATAATAATGGGAGATTCCAGAGCGGAGAAAGCGACGCGTTCCGGGGGATGGTCGAACTCGGAGTCCCTGTCTTTTCCAAAATCCCGCTAGGCTGAGCGTCATTGCATCAGCTTCGCGTCACCGGGGGTCCATTTGGTGACCAGTACTCTGGTCACCGAAAACAAAGGAGCTCTCGAACCGGGAGAGACGAGAGAAGAAACGGGATTTCTACTACATTTCGACTTTCAAATTCCCTGAATTTTCTCGGTTTATTGCATAAAGAACCTCTGTACAACTCATTTGTCACAGAGGTGTAATCCTATCACTCTTCCGAGGTTCAGTTAACTGACGACTAAAAAGGCTAAGGCCTTTTTTGCTCCTTGTCTGACCTAACTATCACAATTACACGGTCCTATTATAAAAAAGTATTCGGCTTAAAAATACATAATGATCAAAATACTAAAATTTCCACTTGAAAAAGCAAAAGTTCCAGAGTCAACATTATATTCCCGGGGGTTCCCTTTTGATTTCCTCCGAAATTTCATTCCCTGCGTTTCCCCGGTTTTTCTTGATAGTAGAAACGTGGATTCATGAGTATTGGCCCAGAACCGTTCCTATAAACTTCAGCGGAGCCGATGATTTTCCCGAAAATTTGGGGGTCTTCCCGGAAGACCCCCAAAGGAAGGCGGTTCTACGGGGGTGCCAGTGGGTGCCAGGCACCCCCAAGCAAATATTAAGTACGGTTATTGGAACCGTGAAATTACTGCTTTTAAAGATTCTGTATTCGCTCACACTGAGAAAAAATCCCAGCAATTAATTGAAAATGTTTTAAACAGAATTCAAATTGATAGCCGTGTTTTACAAAGCTTCCACTGTTTTTTTATGGTAAGATTGTAGTTTTGATGGAAAGATTTGCTAAAAATTTTCTAAATTGAATTTACAGGTACTTGAGTGGAGAGGTTGGCGAGAAAAAGAGAAAGGAGGGTAGGGAAGGGATAAAACTTGAGGGCTGAAACTTAGGCCTCCCCTGAGCGACCGTCCCCTTTGGAGCCGGTCTCAGACATTTTCCACCTCTGGGCACCCCCAAGAATGAAGGTCTAGAACCGCCTAGACCCTCCTTCAAGGGGCGTTAATTGGGGGGGGGGAGGGATATAACTTTAAAAAAGAAAATGTCTTATTTTTGCCTCGCATATTGCACTTCTACGAGGAAAATCTTGGGCAAATATTACAGAAAATTGCACTGATTTTTTTCTCTGATTTCATTCAAAAATCAAAAAAATTTGGGGGAAAAATTGCCCGGGCACATTTTTGTAAAAAATCGAATTGTTTGAGTCATTGTTACAACCTTGGAACGGGGTTAGGTTCCTTCGCACGAATGTGCGATGGACGAGGAGAGAAACAGTGACGAAGCGAGAATGATCGATTATCGAGACTTTCCCATTTGAAGCGACAGAAAAGACTCGATCACTGATGCAAACGCCCTGGTTATCAATCTTTTCCGATGGGTTTAAATAGCAGATAAATCGATACATCGCAAAGCACGCCACGCCACTGATGAGAGAGAGGATTCGTTGACGCAGAAGATGTTTAAGTTAGAGGGCCCAACTCGTGGGGCTCCGGTCGAGGGGACGGTGCGGGGTGCGGGGTGCGGGTGCGCTGGGGCTGGAGTTGGGACGCGTGGGCACTCGGTCTCGGAGGAAGGAACCTCGGGGCTTCCCATGCGGCGTCGGTGGCGGCGGAGGTTGCGGCGGCGGCGGCGGCGGCAGCACCACGTTCTGTGCCGGAATGGCCGTCGAGGGCGGGGCTCGCCGCGGCTCGGGCCCGGCTCCCTGGCCTTAACCAGTCTTCATCCTCTCAGGGCTCCAAGCTCTCTTCCACTCCGGCTAGATTCAGCCTAAACTCATCTAAACTCATACACAGCCTCCCATCTCTACCACTTCGGCTTGGACGCCGGAGCTCGTAAAAAAAGGCCATATACTTCCAAGCACCTCTACAATCGCTTCTTGGCAGTATGGGATCCAGGGCAGTGGCGTAGCAGGAATTGCGATGTATCGATTGTTCTGCCATTTAAGCCTATGGTAAAGAATCGACTAATAAGGTGTTCGCTGTGAACACCCAGTTTATCGATCCTTTTCCATAGGTTTAAGTGGCATAACAATCGATATATCGTAAAGCACGCCACGCCACTGATCCAGGGGGCATGGTAGCATGACCTTCTCCTCGATTCAACAAGAGCAGGAAAAGAAGAAATCAGGGGTATAGAGGAAATGACAAAAGAAAAAAAGGACAATGGAGGGACTTGGAGGACAAAGTGCAGTTTTTGCTATTTTGAGAAATACGTGTTTAAAGTTTCGAAACTCCATGGATCCTTGTGGAGGAAAGAAAGTTCAAACTGACTTTTTGATGCGTAAAAATTGGACTTTGGAAGCGAATATTTCACAGACTATGGGTCAAGACTGGCTTCACTTGAAATCATGAGTGACTCAATTTTTTCAAAAATTGCACGTATGCGCCTTGTCCTCCAAGCCCCTCAATGAGTATACCCAGAGTAAAAAAATCGAGTGTGTGCTTCTAACGCGAAGTTTTTGGTAGAAGAGTTTGCTCGGAAAAGTACGAATAAAAAACCATACATAGATGCAGAAAGATTCCAGCAAACTGTTAAGACCCTGCTTTCTTACGTTCGATTTTTGTCATTTTAAGGCATTTCTTCTCCATTTATACTAAGAAACAATTGCTTTGAATGAACTAGTATAATACGCATTGAAGATCGAAGAGCGTTAGCGATAGTATGCGTTTTTGGGGTCAGATTTTCTTAAATATTTCTCTTGAATAACCTGGTTGCCAACGACAAAGAAACGAGAATGTAGAAGACTGAAAAAACTTGATAGGATCCACGCAAATTAAACGCTAAGAAATGGATCTAAGGCTATTGGGATGTGCTCACTGTTCATCGCAACTTAGGCGTAGTTTCGCCTCTCACGGAGACAAAAACTTGCGTAGGATCGGAAGTTTAGGTCATACAAATCCCTGAGGTTTTTGGATCCTACATCCGAAAACTTGGGAGTCTAGCTCAGGGCCGGATTTACTTACTCGTCGCCCCCTTCTCATTCGTTTTGAAACATCAATAAAAACCATCAAGTGAACGTACCGGAGGTAAAGAGGCGTATAAGACGCGTTTACTCGTGTTGGTCACAGTTTTTGCGAAAGCCCTGTCAACACTACTAGCAAAAGTTCAAGGAACTTGACGCGAAAGTTAAGTTCCGTAAACCTATCTCTGTATAGACAAGGCCCTCCATATATAAAAGATGAACCAAAAAATTATGAAAGAACAAACATTAATGTGGTTTAATAATTTTAACTTCCGCCGCCGCGCCGCGCTGACCGCACTGTGTTTGACGCAATGCGTGAAGTGTTCCTACAGTCTTACATGCGCTATGCGTTTCGGGCCGACCGCTGCTGCACGCACTGTGTTTGACGCAATGCGTGAAGTATTCATGCAGTCTTGTAGGCGCTATGCGTTTCACGCTGCTCGCTGCCCGCTGCTGACCGAAGCGACCGCATCGTCTTTGGCGCAATGTGTGAAGTATTCATGCAGTCTTGTAGGCGCTAATATGTGTTACATGCCGACCGTCGCGCCGAGGGTTTCACCTTTTCACCTCACGTTCTCGTCATCATTGCTCTCTGCCCCGCGCCGTTCCAGGCCAAATTCCGTGTTCGGTTTCTCTCTTAGTCTTAAATCGACTAATTATAGGTGCTGTCTAATGTATCACAGAAGGACGACAAAATTAGAGATACACTCTCAGGAAATGAGAGATTTTGTCACCTTGTCTCGTTCGTAATTTTTTTTTTCTGAATCCGATTTTTCTTTTCAGCTACATTAAAAAAAATTGCAAAATTTGCCGCCCCCTAAATTTGCCGCCATGGGCCGCGGCCCAAAACCCCCCCTTAATCCGGCCCGGGTCCAGCTACCGAGGTTCGCGTTACATATCTGAAGCATTTTAGCACTTTAGATGACTCCATGTAAGTTTCATACGAAGCACTGAAAACTATTTGACCCGAACTTCAGGTGAACCTCGAGTTTTCAGACGCACGATCCGAAAACTTCAGAAATCCATATGACCTAAACTTGGGGTCTAATGCACAAACTTCTTTTCCCCTTGTAGAACTTTTAGAAAATTATGATGAAGAAGAAGAAAAGGAAGAACAAGAGCAAAGATAAGATGGCGAGGAGGAAGGAGAAGATGAACGGAAGAAGAGGAAGACGAAGAAGAGGAATAAGAAGGAAAATATGATGGAGAGAAGAGAATGGCGAAGAAGAGGGATAAGAAGATGAGAAATTCAAAGGGAAGGAATAAGAAAAAGAAAAGGAAGAAGTGGGGAAAAGAAAAGAGGAAGTGAGAAAAAGAAGGGGAGAAAAAGAGGAGCAAGAAGACAAGAGGATTAAGGGGAAGAAAAAG